TGGGTTAAAGCCTCTGCCTTCAGCTGGGGTCATGATCCCAGGGTCACCTAGAAGATGTGTTTCTAATAACTGCCTGATACAAGGGAGAAAAAGTATGGGAAGACCAATCAGTGGAGAGCATTCCTCCAGCATTTGATTATAAAATATGAGGCCCAAAGCTTTGCTAAGATCAGAAACTGAGAGAAATACTGGGGTTTATAGGCCTCGTTGTTTAGTTGCGGGCCTCTGTTTTGGCTGTGAATGCATTTCTTTTTTCTGAGGCCACTTCACTACCTCCAGTAATGGTACTAACAAAACTACTCTTGCGGTGTCACTGGCGTACTTTGAATTGCTTTAAAAAATATCACTTTTGGGGCGCCTGGGTGGCTCAGTGGGTTAAGCCGCTGCCTTCGGCTCAGGTCAGGATCTCAGGGTCCTGGGATCCAGTCCCACATTGGGCTCTCTGCTCAGCAGGGAGCCTGCTTCCCTCTCTCTCTCTCTGCCTGCCTCTCTGTCTACTTGTGATCTCTCTCTGTCAAATCAATAAAATAAAAAAATCTTAAAAAAAAAATATCACTTTTGTTCCTTCTTAGAATATTTTATTTTACAAAGCAATCCATTACTTCTGATACGGGCGGGAATGTACATATTTGCTAATCAAGTTATTTGTGCCTCTAGATATTTTTTCCAGGAAAAAGTGATTAAATTCTGATCCCATTAAGCAAAACATTGTCAGTATTAGTTTTTAACTGGCAGCAATGGCCTAATTTCTTAAAAAAATAGTTAGAATTTTTCAAAAAATAAGTTTTTTGGGGGGATATATTACCTATTTAATGAATGATATGTGAATATATATGAAGAATGGCTATCAAGTAATAAGAATTTTCCCCAAATAGCCTGTGGAATCATTTTTTTAAAAAAAGATTTTATTTATTTATTTGACACATAGTAAGAAAGATTACAAGTAGGCAGAGAAGCAGGCGGAGGGGAAGGGGAAAGCAGCCTCCCTGCCAAGCAGAGAGCTGGATGCAGGGGTCCATCCCAGGACCCTGGGATCATGACCCAAGCCAAAGGCAGAGGCTTAACCCACTGAGCCACTCAGGTGCCCCAGGAATCATCATTTTATAGTGCCTCAAAGAGAAAAGTAAGCAGGAATCCTACCCAAACAGAAATGCAATGAAAGAAAGCTAGTTTCTTTAAATATACAGAAATTGGGATTGTATTTGTGTTCTGTACTGGGTATCCTCAAAACAACATAAAATTTCCCATTTCTTCAAAGTTAAAAGCACAGGAAGGTATTAGTTAAACAGACTAGTAAACAGAAAAGTCGGGCACCTGGGTGGCTCAGTTGATTGGCCGGTTGCCTTTGGCTTAGGTAGTGATTCTGGAGTCCCGAGATTGAGTCCTGCATCAGGTTCTCTGCTTGGCGGGGAGTCTGCTTTCTCCTCTGACCCTCCCCCTATCATGCTCTCTCTCTCAAATAAATAAAATCTTAAAAAAAAAAAAAAGAAAAAAGAAGTCAACATAGACACAATTAATTAATTGGTGGGTGATTAGTGTCAGACAGCAAGGAGTTAGAGAACTGTATTTCTAGCAAACATAGAGGTAAAATTCTCCTGATAAATTGAGGTATTCCCAAGGTTAACAAGTTATTTGTAAAGAGGAAAGCACATTCAGCTGATGGAGAAAATGCAAGGTATGTAATTACCTTGGTCCTAAAGTTATAATAAAAAGACAAAGGGAATTCTTTAGGATATGGCATGGAGGGAATTCTTTTCAAAATTATTGTTATGAAGAACCATTCAGGTTTTGCATTCTCTCAAGTACATACTATTTTCTAAGCCTGTATTTTATGATATTCCATGGATTAATTAAGTTCATCTTGGAAGCCTTGGTCGTCTTCTCTGGGCTCCCACAGCATTATGTTTATACCTTTTTTTTTTTTTTTAAGTTTATTTATTTAAGTACTCTACACCCAATGTAGGCCTCAAACTTAAGAACCCCGAGATCAAGAGTTGCATGCTCTTTCAACTGAGCCAGTCAGGTGCTCCTATACTTAAAAACTCTTTACAGGACTTACTGTATTTATTTACGTGCCTTGATGTTCCCTTTAAGGTTAATTTTGAAGTCTGTTTTCTAGAAGTAATATTTTGCTTCAATACTCTATTAATAGAAATCTGTTATATCCAATGTTATTTTTTAGGTCTTTCCTAAATAAGCTTTTAGGCATTAGATTAAAAAGAATGGGACTCAAATAGTAAATGTGTCTCTATTTCTTCCCTTAGAAATACAAAAGCTCAAGACATTACCACTTTGTTTCAGCCAAGTTACTAACCAAGCTGGTTAAAGTGCATCAGCTTTATCACAACTGGAAACTCTTTAAAATAAAAGCAGATATAAATTTTGATGTATTTTTCAGATTATTAACCTTTAAAACAAATCAAAACTTTAATCATCAATACCTAATCATATAGTCTATTCCCATGCAAACTGTGGAGGACACAATTTAAAACAAAAACAGTAATAAAAACAAAACATTTTGCTTATTGATCAGAAAGCTTCTTGTGGCAATTTGGAGAAATACAACTGCAAACATCTTAGGTAAGCAGTGAGGAAGGCTCCCGAGGGAATTGGAACACTGGAAAAAGAGAAAAGCTATCCCTTGATGTAATCAGGACTACCAGAGTACTTGTTTTGTTTCCAGCAGGGTCCATGCTGGTTTGAATAAGATAGGTTTGAATACCAGCTATTAAGCCTTAATTACCTTATCATTAAGAATATATTTACTAATTCAGTGTTGTTTTAAACAAGGTGATACTCTTAAAAAAAAAAAAAAGGCTATAAGATAGTGCGTAACTCAAAGTTCCTAATTCCACGACACTGGACATATTATTTCCTAACTACTGACATTCATGTAATACCTCTAACCCAAACAATTCAGGAAACTATATCACTAAATGATGAGAAGACATCTTAATGTTTAAGTACAAACTAAATGAAACAGACCAAAGAACTCAAAAATCAAATTAATAAGTTCTACCCTGAGAATAACCCATTTGCCTTGACAAAGGAGATTTCTGAGCTCAAATCCATCCTGTATCAGCGCAGTTCAACAGTGATTAAGTATTTAGTTGATGCCACAAAGGCAGTTACAAGACAAAATTCCCCCTTTGAGAAGGTGGGCTAACAGGGGGATATCAAAATGCAATGTGAGGTTCCATGCATAGAAGAATGTGTAAAGTACTCCAGGGACATAGGTGAGAAAGCAGCTAAATTTGATTGGTGTAAGAGGAGGGTAAGAAGTGTTAAGGAGAGTTAACAAGGGGAATTGACATTTAAACCAGCTTACAAGAAATGGGAGTTTGCCAGATACAATAGAGAGAAGGGCATTCAGATGAAGGAAACAGGAAGAAGTGTATACTCAAATTTGCAGACAATTAGGAAGATACAGAGTCCAAACCATTGCAAAGAATGCTCCAAAGAAAGGGCTCATCTGAGAAAAATGCCACGTTACAAAGAAGGTATGTTATTTGCTCCACAGAATTGATTTTCTAGAATCTGTGAGACTAACCAGCCATCTTTTGTGGGAAAAATAATCTCAAATACAAGAATGATAAAGAAAATTAGCTTTATTTATGTAAATCAAAAAAATTGATTGTAGTGTTAGATTTGTCAAGTGTTTTCATTTTGAACAATTTACAAGAGTATTTATATACAAACATAATAAAATAGAGTATATCACATTGTTCCTGCTTGTCTCAAAGTGTTTTCTCAATTTGGAACATGCCTCTATCACTCCAGTTTTTAATTTTTTAACAGGGAAATGCTATGTTGTGACATAGTGCTTGATTAATACATATAACACTGAAGTGGAAGGATAGTCAGTGATTACCAACAGTTAAAAAATATTTTTTCAACCAATATGACTCTATCATTAGATTATTTCTGTATTAAAATATGTTTCACAATAAAAAAACATACTTGCATTTGGTGATGATCTAAATTTGTTGTTTTATATAAATCCATAGTTGACCTGAATATAAATTCGAATTAAACTCATTAGTATGAATGTCTGTCATAAATGAAAACAAAATTACCAGAAGTAGAGGTAACAGAAAATCCACGTGAGAAACTGAAGTGGAAATGTCCTATTCTATTTAAAATAAGTAAAATTTCCATTTTGTGAACCCAATACAAACCAAACCAAAAGGTGGTGAAAAGCCATGATATTTAAAGACACCAGATCTTAAGTCACACTGTAGAGCTGTAACTAACTTATACTATTATTTATTGGATAATTCTAAACCAACTTCCTAAATATCTTTCCAATCATTATGTTGTTTGAGAAATACAAGAAAGTTTAATATAATTACTGAATAAGGCAGAATTTTAAATTAGCAATTAGGATACAATATAAATGAAGATAATTTAGAATCAATCTCTATCTACCAAAGTATTAAGTACACCATGTGTGTATGGACTGTCAGAAGAAAGCCATTTCATTTCTAAAACAGACTGGATTTTAAGTAAGCTCCTGGATTGTTAAGTAACTTCAATTTTTTAGCACTTTCTTGAAATTCCTGGCAAGAGCTCTGTGATTTTATTAAATTGAAAAAAAAAACAAAAAACCATAAAAAATGTTAAGTTTGATATTACTTTGAAAAGTCACAGCTGTTTAAGACAATCAACCAGACCTCCAAGTGCACTTGTGTCTAAAATGTCACTTTTGTCCCCAAAGAGAAGGAAATAATCAAGTATTTTATTAAGGTGCTTACTATTAAAACAGAGGAATCAGAGGAAATTGGTCTTTAATTGGATGCTTGCATTCTTTCCAGGGTTCTTAGTATGTTTAGATGTCAGTATCTTGACTTTGACATTTTCCTGATTGCCCTTGATAGCAGCCTCAAGGCGGGCTTTCAGGGCTGGAGAAGAAGCCATTACATTTTTAAAAACTGATGAATACTGAGGCCCAATCTGCATGAGATTTTGCAAAGCAAAGTCATGTAAATTTTTCATTACAGCAGTTGCGGATCCCAGAGCATTATCATCCAAAAGGAAGGAAATGAGGATGGGCAGAAGACAGGCCACCAGCTGAGAACCTGTTAAGTAAATAAATGATTTTTAAGTCCTGGATTGAAGGTTGTAAGTGTTTAATATATACAGCTGTAAACTCACTTATCTGTATACATTTTTTCCCACTGAAGGGGAAAAAGGATCCTTCTAATCGCTCAAATTAACACTCAATAATATCAATACTTGCAATTAATAACACTTGCCTTTCAATGAATGTGGAAATACAATGTTAAGTGACTAACTGAAAATTTTACATTTAAAATAACATTAAATTTCCGATTTGGGACGGATTCTTATTTAGTATGAATTTAGTGCTGACACTTACGGTGCTGTTCTTCAGCAATGGCTACCAGTGCTTCCAAGACCTTTATGCCTTCTTGAAAGATCTGAAGCTCAGTAGTGTCTTCAGGCTTTCTCTGGTCTATTTCCTGCAGTTTTTCCACAATAGAGGATACTAAAGAGTAAATGTATGGGTAGGAAACAGCTGGATTTGGATACTGAAAAACGGAAAGTAGGAGTTGATAGGTCTTGATTTGTACCTAATTAGGTAAGAGACAAAAACAGTATAAACTATAAATACAAATTTATATGAACATGAAGACTGTAATGTAAATTTAAAAAAAGGAAATAAAAATTGTGAATTAGAACCTTTTTAAAAAGAAGTCTCTAAAAAAGGCATTTAATTTCTAATTTATTTTTAATTGTGGAAATCCAAGTGCTAACAGTTGTTAAAAGAGGGACAAGAGCCCAAAATGGAGTCACCGGGCAAAGCCCAGGTTACCAAACCAGAACTCAATACCCAACTTAATTACAGTTTCAATCTCTCCCAGGACTAGAATCTTAAACCAGTCAATCTGCAATTACCTGGTCAGCACTAGTGAGGTGTTCTGCTAGACAGACCCCTGCTATGCCCCTAAGGAAGGTAGCTTTGCCTCAAACAATCCACTCTTTGCTAGTAATTTCCTTGCCCTTCCTCTTTCTGTCTATAAATCTTTGATTTTGTACAGCTCTTCAGAGCTCCTCTCTATTTGGTATATGCGATGCTGCCCAATTCATGAATAAAGCCAAGAAGAGCTTTAAAATTTACTCAGTTGAATTTTGTTCCTTGACAGATTTGGTGGCAGTGATAGGATCCAAAGGAAACTTCTGAAGGCTTCAGGAGTTAAGGAGAAACACAGATGTGGACTGGTGGTTCCATCAGCCGTTCTCCATTTGTGTGGAATCCCAGTCTCCAGTCCCTATTTGTTGGGGTCTGTTGGGTTCAGTTCTTTCCCCAGCCCCCACATCTACACTGGGACTTGCTGGTGTTGCACATAAGGCCTTCTACTGGCCAGACTGCAATAATATCTCTTTGGTCACTCCTGGTATGTTGATGTGCACATGAAGTAAAGGCTACAGCAGGTGGAAATCGAGGAAGCCAAAAAGCTGCAAAATTGGTGGGCACTGGTAGAGTAAGTACATAAAAACTGTCAGAGTGCTTGCTACCTGACCCTAAGACTCCTATCTAGGATAAGCTGGTCACAGAATGGGTTAGACTGACACAGATTACCCACCACCAACCTCAAGAAAATGTCCATGCAACAAAGCACACCATAAAACACCATGCAATCCCCAACCCAGTAGCACACCCCTCTTAGGTATTAGTTTGGCTCTGAGAGACCCAAAGAGTTAAAGAAATGGGATTCTTAAATTCCAAAAAGTTGAGCACTCCACCTTTTGGCATACCTGCTTATTTTATGTCTGAGAACTATAGTCTCTGTAGCTATTAAGACCTAATAGAATGGCAAAATCTTACTAAAGGCAACTTAGAATTACAATGGCCATTATGGAGAAAGTGCCAATTAGACAAGGTCATTTATTTAAGAAGTATGCTTAAAAGCAAGGATTCCCAAATCAAAGAGAATGGGATACCTATTTTAGTTGTTATGGAGAAACTTCCAAAAGGCTTTAAGATACCAAAATAGTTTCATTGAAAGTTTCATTGCAAAAAGGGAATAAAAAATTAGACACAAAAGTTATCTAAAACAATACCTCTTGCACTGCAGCCCTCTGGGGGTGCATCATCAAAACACTGGACCAGAAACTGGTATCTAATTTCTAATTAACTGGTATACTGGAAAAAAGATTGTTCTCAAACGTTTTGCAAAAATCCTCCAACACCAATTCGAATGCCTCCATATCTACCTTGGAAGGAAGGTCCATATGGGCCTCTCCCAGAGCAGAAAAGAGTCTGAAGGAATTTCTGGTACACGGCTATTATTCTTTAAATAGACAAGGGAAACTAAAATTAAAATTAATGGAAAACCTCACACCAAATTCTGGTAGACACTAGAGCTACATTTTCTATGTAAATCCTATTCAGGACTGCACATGTGATCCTGGGGAAACTGGAAGAAGCCAGCTAAGGATGATAATCCTTATCAGAGTCCACTCTCCCAAATCTCTGTCTGTAGTAACCAGCAGATTGAGAAAAATAAAACACCTTTTGCAACCTCTTTGAGGATGACTCTTGAATTCAAGGGAACTCAAGTAACTATATTCCCAAAGTGAGTCTATGGTCAAAATTTGGTCGAACTGGAAGCTGATTTTCAGAGCTTGATGGCAATTTTTTTTTTAAAGATTCCTTCCTTAAGCTAAAATGAAACTCTGTACCCACTAAAACATTCCAAGACATACAACTCTAAATCAAAAACAGTAATCTTTTGATATCTTAGTTGACAATGTCTCAGATAAAAGAAAAAATTGGAGATAATGTAGTTATACAGGTAGGTCAACCTATGAAGTCTTTTTTTTTTTTTTTTTTTAAAGATTCTATTTATTTATTTGACAAAGAGAGAGAGAGCACAGGCAGAGGGAGCAGCAGGCAGAGGGAAAAGGAGAAACAGCCTCCCACCTGAGCAAGGAGATGGACTCAGGACTTGATCCCAGGGTCTTGGGATTGAGCCCCACCCCCACCCCAAAAATCAGGCTCTCTGCTCAGCAGGGAGCCTGCTTCCTTCTCTCTCTGCGGGCTTGTGATCTCTATCAAATAAATAAAATCTTAAAAAAAAAAATAAACTGCAAACCAATTCTTGAGGAATTAAAGGCAAAAACAGAAATGAGGCTCCAGAAACAATTCGAAATCCACCAGTCCTTTTTAGCAATCCTAAAACCTTCACTTTTTATCTCAAAAGGCTAAGTATTGTTAAAAATTCAGGCCAATGGGAACAAAAGTCCTTGCTGGAGGAACTTGCATTCTGTCCTTTGCCTTTGAGATGTAAATATTTTACCAGGTTTTCTCTAGGAACTCTTATCCCTAATTCCAGTTTTTTTTAAGGGGGGGTGGGGGCACCTGGGTGGCTCAGTTGGCTAAGCATCTGCCTTCAGCTCAGGTAATGATCCCAGGGTTCTGGGATTGAGTCCTGCATTGGGGGGGGGGTGTCCTTGCTCAGCAGGGAGTCTGCTTCTCCCTCTGCCTGCCACTCCCCCTGCTTGGTGCTAATAAATAAATAAAAATAAGAATAAAAAAAGGGAGAGGTGCTTGGGTGGCTCAGCTGGTTAAGCATCTGACTTGATCTCAGCTCAGGTCTTGATCTCAAGAATTGTGGGTTCAAGCCCTGCATTAGGCTCCATGCTGGGTGTGGAGCTTACTTTAAGAAAAAAAAAATGAATTACTATACAGTGGAATATTATTAAGCCATAAAAAGGAATGAACTCTTGCCATTTGCCATGACATGGGTAGAGCTACAGAGTATTTGGCTGAGTGAAATATAAGAAACAAAACAAACAAGCAAAGGGGAAAAAAAAAAGAGGGAGGCAAACCAAGAAACAGACTCTTAACTATAAAGAACAAAATGATGGTTAACAGAGGGGAGGTGGATGGGAGGTTGAGTGAAATAGATGAAGGGAATTAAATAATACACTTGTCATGATGAGCACTGACTAATGTATAGAATCGTTGAGTCACTATATTGCACACCTGAAGCTAATATAACACTGTGTGTTAACTGGAATTTAAATAAATACTTTAGAAACAAAATCTGGATCCAACTGCTCTTTAATCAACTAGTGAGTTTTGTATCATTATACCTATCTCATGGCTCAAACTTTAAAATGAAAGCTCATTGCTTGCAAACTTCTAAGGAGTGACCAGGCAGGGCCATCACAAATGTCATGAATGTTCTCTAAGAGCACTGATTCCAAAATTTTGATGCCAAGATCCCTGACTTGAGGGTCTAAGTAACTTAGGAAGATAGCTGAGCACTCAATCCTTGTTTGACCAGTTCCTGGATGTGTGAGACACATACAATAGACCACCATTTTCAGTAAAACTCCTGATCCCCTACAAAAATGAGACTCACGCTCCTTTTCCTTTCTCTCTCTCTCTTCTTTTTTTGAAGATTTATGTATTTCAGACAGAGAGAGAGAGAGAGTGCGTGAACAAGAGAGCATGAATTGGGGGAAGGGGCACACGAAGAAGCAGGCTCCCTGCTGAGGAGGGAGCCTAATTCAAGGCTTGATCCCAGGACCCTGGGATCATGACCTGAGCCAAAGGCAGATGCCCAATCAACACCCAGAGGCCCTTCCTTTTACTTTCTAAGTCTCCCAGATGCTCTGTTTGTATCTGCTCTATGTCTTCAGTAAATTCTGTTTGCTTTTCCTTTTTGCTTGTTTGATTTCTATTCTGCGAAAAGCCGAGGATGCTTCTGAGGAGTCCTCAGACCTGGCCTGTCTGCATCTGTATGTTTACTTAAAAATAGTTTCCATGGGGCGACTGGGTGGCTCAGTCATTAGTCACCAGCCTTTGGTTCGGGTCATGATCCCAGGGTCCTGGGATTGAGCCCCGCATTGGGCTCCCTGCTTGGTGGGAAGCCTGCTTCTCCCTCTCCCACACCCTCTGCTGTATTCCATCTCTCACTGTGTTTCTCTCTGTCAAATAAATAAAATCTTACTTAAAAAAATAGTTTCCAAAAATCTTTTTGGTAACCTAAAACTTTAAAATTATACTGAGGTAAGTTGAAAGATGGGTATTCATTAATATCTGGATCATTTCCAATTAAAATAAAAAACTGAAACATTAATTACTAAACATAGGTTTATCTATTTTTGGTTTATTACCAAGAAACTTAAGATAGTTGGGTCTATTAGTAAACATGTTTGGTTCACCAGTGAAAAATATACTGAGGAAGGATATATTTTTAGAAATTACGAAATGTATTCATAAATTTGTCAATCTCAAGAACGTTGGTATAACAGTTCACAGTTGTTTACTTAGTTTTCCATTAGAAATTAAGGTTTCTGGGGCACCTGGGTGGCACAGTGGGTTGAGGGTCTGACTCTTGATTTCAGCTT